GGGGGGTGGCAGCCTGCCAGGAGCCTCCCTCACAGGGTTAGAGGCTCCATATTTACCACCACACCTCCTTGTCTCCATTTTCATGTCAAAACCAAAATGCCTCCTCGGGTGGGGGAAGGGAAGGAGGAACCTCCTCCTCTTATTCTCTGAATGTCAGTGATGCTGACTGGTCAGCCCTATAGAAGGGAACTATCCCTGTTCTGGACAGCTTGGTGGGGACAGGCCAGGGGTACTGGTGTGACCCAGGCTAACCCCATCGCACCCGCCCTAGGTTAGCTAACCAATAGAGCGTCGTAGCTGTAGGCGCTTGTACCGATGAAAAATGGTTTTTAATCTGAAAGATATGATTTATATATCTGTTGCCACCCCCAGGATTAAACAGCAAGTGAGGGGGTAAGGGTTTTGAGTGTATGTGTTCTGTTAATCCTCACCCAAGGATATTTTTTCCCACTTATTTTTTTATATTTAAGAGAGAGTGGAAGGGAGGGAGGGGGACAGAGAAGAGAAACATCTATATGAGAGAGAGACACATGGATTGGTTGCCTCCCACATGCACCCCAACCAGGGCTGGGGATGGAGCCTGCAACCAAGGTAAGTGCCCGTGACTGGAATCGAACCCAACACCCTTCAGTCTGTGGGCTCTAACCACTGAGAAAACCGGCCAGGGCAAGAATTTTGGGGTTTTTTTTTTTTTTTTTTTTTTTTAATGCCTCTAAGACCCTTGAGCTACAGAGACACCCTTTGCTCTCTCCTCTGGCCCGATCACCAGCCTGGCTCCTGGTAGGACAGAGCAGCTTCCCTTACCTCTCTGGGAGCCTCTTGCCTCCAAGCCCAAAACAGTGGCAGGGCCATACCGCTGTCTGTCCGGCTCCCAGGGCGCCAGCACCTTGTCCCCAGGCTGCAGTGAGTATTCCTCGGGTGGCGAGAACTGGATGACATCTTCTCCTAAGACCACGCTCTGCCGTGGGGCTGGCAGCTCTGGGCCTGCGACAAGGGGAGCCTCAAATTCCACAAGCAGAGCCCCCTGCCTCTCCAGCTGTGGGCAAGAAAGCACTCAGAATACGATCTGGAGTTAGGAAGTACCACAGGGAGCACACGGTTCCCCACAACCATGGCTAGAACCAGACCCAGGGGGTTTCTCACGCATGGAGGCCGTTTAGAGAAGGGACAGGGACAAGTACGCCCATTGTCGCAGAGACAACTTGCCTCTGGAGCAGTCTTTATCTGCGCCCGGTAATAAAAGCCATCAGGTCCCCTTCTTGCCAGGACCCATGTGCCAGCAGCATCTCCAACTCCCCTCAGCCTGCCGGGCCCCTGCTGGGCCAGGTCAGCAGGGGGGAGACACGGTTGATATGATGCACATCTGGGAAAAAGCAAATGGAATTAGGGAGTAGAGAAGACCAAGCCCTAAAAACATCAAGAAACACGCTCCACAGGCAGGTCTGCGCAGCACCATGGCACATGTATGACATGTAAAGCTGTGTGGAACAGAAATCCACACCAAGAGTGTCCCCAAGGACTTCCGGGGAGATAAACTGTGAGCCTGGGCAGAAGGAGAGGACAGTGAAGGGAACCACTGTGTGAGGACTGGGAATTGCTTCGGGGCAATCAAAATGTCGTTAGCCTTGGTATGTTCAATTAATGCTGGTTCTGAGATTAGATTGTGGACCAGAAAAAGAGTACCATGAAGGTACATACCAAGTGGGTGTGTGGGATTCTAGGATGAGCGGGGGGAGGCTTGGACGGAAATGACAGAGGAGCGAATGTGTAAGATGGCTTGGCGCTGTGGGTCAGAGGGAGGAAGGAGCGTTTGAGCAGGGCAGGCACAGAGGAGCCGAATGAGGGGCTGTGGGGACAGAAAAAAGGAGAAGCTAGTTCTGGGAATTTTGTGGCCACAGCCGGGGGTGGGGTAGGGGTGAGGAGATGATTGTTGAGTCAGGGTTTGGGTTTCTGAAGAAGCTGTTTACTTTTGTGGGTGAGCCTGGGTGCAGGGATGCTTAACGCTGGCTTTGAATGAGATGGTCCACACAGGAGACAGGAGGAACAGGAAGGGGGCTATGAAGAGTGCAAGCTGGCATGTCCGTAACCTGGGCAGACTGGATTGAGTAGCATGGGCATGAATCCCTGGGACTCACACAGCTGGCATGTGCTTGTAGGCTGAGGTGCCTTTCCCCTTCTTGGGCACCTGAGGATACTATTCAGGAAAAGCCAAGATAACGGAGGGAACCTGAGCAGGGGCCTGGAGCTATTGGTGGCAGAAACTCTAATTGCTCACGCAGTGCCAGAGCAAGTCCATAGTGGATGATAAAATGGTCTAGAGCCCAGCCGGCATGGCTCAGTGGTTGAGTGCCGACCTAGGAATGAGGAGGTCATGGTTCGATTCCTGGTCAGGGCACATGCCTGGGTTGCAGGCTTGATCCCGTGTGGGGTGTGCAGAAAACAGCCCATCAATGATTCTCTCTCATCATTGATGTTTCTCTCTCTCTCTCTCTCTCTCCCCTTCCTCTCTAAAATCAATTAAAAAATTACATATTTAAAAAATACTTTTAAAAAATGGTCTAGAAACTTTGTAAATGGAGATGCCTTGACTGCCTTCTCTCCCACATGCCTACTCTGATACCTGCCACTCTGCTACAAGGTGGGACAACAGCCAGGTCAGCCCTTGAGGTCACTGGGAGCACAGTTTAGACTGGGGTCATGTAATACTTAAGCAAATCATAGCCCACGCAGTGGAGAGCCCTTTGGCCTTCCCAGGACGCGTGTTCTCTCCCTCACGGTTCACTATCACTATCGAGAGCAGCAGTTCTCTCTCTTTTTTTTTAAATATATATACTAGGGGCCCGGTGCACAAAAATTTGTGCACTCGGGGGGGAGAAGGGGGGGTCCCTCAGCCCGGCCTGTGCCCTCTCGCAGTCTGGGATGCTCCCGGGCAGAGGGCAGGCCCAATCCCTAGGTGCAGCCCCTGGTTGGGCTCAGAGCAGGGCTGATTGGGGAGTTGGGGTGCCGCCCCCCCCCATGCACAGAGCAGGGCTGATCAGGGGGTTGAGGAGCTCCCCCCTGTCACTCACAGAGTAGGGCCGATAGGGGAGTTGGGGCACCGCCC